ATTTACTATCTCTCTCTTTTAGCATGTAAGCGTATAGCAAGATCAACAAACGACCAGTGAGTCTATATTTCGATGATATTTCGTTTTGTTATTTTACTGGACTTTGAAGACTATCTGGCGGCAGAGAAAGCAACTTTAACAAGGGGAAAGATTTAAATTGTTTATTAAAACAATGTTTGATGTATATCTATATATATGTAGATAGATAGATAGATCGATAGATGGGTAGATATATAGATACACATACACACGCACACACACATACACACACACACACATACATACATAAATACACACACACACGCATATGTATATATATATATATATATATATATATATATATATATATATATATATATATATATATATATATACATATATATATATATGTATGTATATATATACATACATACATACATATATATATATATATATATATATATATATATATATATATATATATATATATATATATATATATATATATGTATGTATATATATACATACATACATACATATATATATATATATATATATATATATATATATATATATATATATATATATATGTATGTATGTATGTATATATATACATACATATATATATATATATATATATATATATATATATATATATATATATATATATATATATATGTATGTATATATATACATACATACATACATATATATATATATATATATATATATATATATATATATATATATATATGTATGTATGTATATATATACATACATATATATATATATATATATATATATATATATATATATATATATATATATATATGTATATATATGTATATATATATACGTACATACATACATACATACATATATATATATATATATATATATATATATATATATGTATATATATATATATATATATATATATATATATATATATTAGTATGCGTGTGTATATATGTATATGTTCATATAGATGTATTCATATATATACATATACAAACACACACACACAGATACACACACACGCACAAGCACACGCACACGCACACGCACGCGCACACGCACGCGCACACGCACACGCACAACACACACACACACACACACACACACACACACACATATATATAATGTATATATATGTATGTATAAACTGCTTTTAAGTCTGTGTGTGTTATCAGTGTGTGCATGTGTTTGCGTTGGTGTATATGAAAGATAGATAGAGAATGAGGAAGAAAGAGAGGGAGGGAGGGAGGGAGAGAGAGAGGGAGAGGGGAAGGGAGAGGGAGAGGGAGAGGGAGAGGGAGAGGGAGAGGGAGAGGGAGAGGGAGAGGGAGAGGGAGAGAGAGAGAGAGAGAGAGAGAGAGAGAGAAAAGGCAGACATACAGACAGACAGGCAGGCAGACCGAGCCAAACAAAGGGAGATAGGAACAGAAAGAGCCTGAGAAATTTGCATCTTTTGAAGAGTCAATCTCGAGGAGTAGGTCTTGGCATTCATTAAGGAAGAGGCTGTTGTTAAGGAACCAATCGGCATCGAGGACGAGTAAGAGTGATCGACAGTTAGTCTTTTATTTACGTTTTTTTTTTTTTTTTTTTTTTTTTTTTTTACTTTTTTTTTAACTTTTTTTTTTTTTTATTTTTTTTTTAGGAGGTAATTTCGATACGGATTCTCCCTAATTATTTCCGGCTAATGTAAGAAGTAAGCCTGGATAGGATTTTTATTTCTGAAAGAGAGAGTTTGAAAGAGAGAGAGTTAGAGGCAGGCAGACAGACACACACACACACGCACACACACACATACACACACACACACATATATATATATATATGTGTGTGTGCGTGTGTGTGTGTGTGTGTGTGTATGTTTGTGTGTGTGTGTGTGAGTATTACATGATGCTTAATTATTTTTTCTTCAGGCCATATGTTATCTAAGAAATAAACTTGCTGTAAATCAAAGGGGACACACACACACACACACACACACACACACACACACACACACACACACACACACATACACACACACACACATACACACACACATTGTATACATTCCTATATAAAAAATATTTTGCTTTACCACTTACACTGGGGAATTTAATTTCCTTTTGGAGTAGTTGATATTAAACTCTTCAGAAGCGTAATAGGGCGCCCTTTTGTCGTCCAAATACGTCCAACTTTGCCTTCACTAGTTTAAATGCGTTCATTCGTGTAAACGCTTACCTTTGATGAAATCCTGAAAAAATTCGTATATTGCCTTCGTGGCCGGCCGCATCAGGGAGAAGGGGAGGGGGGGGTAAAGTAGTGAAGGTGGGAGGGGGAGGGTTTTGTAGGGGGGGGGGTAAAGTAGTGAAGGTGGGAGGGGGAGGGTTAGGTAGGGGGGGGGTAAAGTAGTGAAGGTGGGAGGGGGAGGGTTAGGTAGGGGGGGGGTAAAGTAGTGAAGGTGGGAGGGGGAGGGTTAGGCAGGGGGGGGGAGGGTAAGTGGGCACGTGGCATGAGACAGAAAAGAAAAGAAAAGAAAGTAACTATTTATACAAGGACCGATGATATATATTACTCTTGTCATGGTAGATTTTGTTTTTCAAGATTTGAGTATCTTGTGAACACGGTTACAATTTTAGGGATGATGATTTTAGAGATTTGTCGGTAGCTGGGCGGGAAGTGTGTGTGTGTGTGTGTGTAGGGGGGGGGGCAAGGTCAACACGTGGAGAGCAGCTGCTTTCCTGTGCTCCCTCTGCATCTGCCATGCGAGGGTTCTAAGCCATGCAGAAGGGATTCGAACTCTGCAGACGGGGATTCGAACTCTGCAGACGGGGATTCGAAGCCATACACACAGGGATTCGAACTCTGCAGACGGGGATTCGAAGCCATACACACAGGGATTCGAACTCTGCAGACGGGGATTCGAAGCCATACAGACAGGAATTCGAACTCTGCAGGCGAGGATTCGAAGCCATACACACAGGGATTCGAACTCTGCAGACGGGAATTCGAAGCCATACACACAGGGATTCGAACTCTGCAGACGGGGATTCGAAGCCATACACACAGGGATTCGAACTCTGCAGACGACCAATTTCGACCAATTGGCTAGTCTGAATATTTTACCTTTTTAGGACCCAGAACAATGTTGGAAAAAAAAACATTTGACAGTTGAAATTTATTGAAATTCACCAAATAATAACTCATAAAAGAGTTTTTTTTCTGTGAGTAATCGAATACCTTTAAACTTGAAACTTTCAGTTGCTATGTATTCAAAATGCAGTCATATGTGGCCTCATTGACAGGATTTCAATGCATTGTATTTCGAAGCAATATATGGCGTCCCGAATGCACTGATGACATTAACCTTTATAATTTATATATAAACAAAAAATACCATTTCGATGATAGGCTTATCTCATAATTGGCATTTTTTGACATTGGCCCTTCTAGCTCTCGGCCCTAGATTCTTTTTATAATAGAAAAGGGATTATTACACACATTAATTAATTTATTATTCAATTGTTGACAAAACAACAACAATAACTAATATGGTCTTCAGAAGTAATCCTTTCATATGTATATATATATATATATATATATATATATATATATATATATATATGTATGTATATATACATACATACATACATACACATATACACATTTTTTTATGCTGACGATCACTCACAATCATTTATTCACTATGTCTGTCTGTCTGTCTGTCTATCTGTCCATATGCCTATCTGTCTGTCTTTGTGTTTCTCTCTCTCTTTCTCTCTCTCTCTCTCTCTCTCTCTCTCTCTCTCTCTCTTTGTCTCTCTCTCTCTCTCTCTCTCTCTCTCTCTCTCTCTCTCTCTCTCTATCTATCTATCTATCTATCTTCGCACTCATGTACCTAAATATAGTCTTAATAGTAATAATGATAATAATAAAAAAGCAGGTTTGATTTTTTAAAAATGTTTTGAAAAAAAAAGGATAAAGGTATTTGTTCTAGTACTTATTCTGATATTTATTTACTTACTTAATTATGATAATTCTTATTGGTTATTTGCGTGGTGTGCCTACCTAACGAAATAAGAAAAAGAAAGGAGAAAAGGAAAAAGGAACTTTCAAATCGTAATAATAATAATAATAACAAACAAATACTGAATCTATAATCATAACGTACCATTTAACGATATCTATCAATAGCAAAAAATAATAAATAAAATAAATAAAGATTATGATGCTACTCACAGTAGATAAAAGACGCTCCCCAAGAAGAAAATAAAATAATGTAAAATTAATAATTTTCCCCCTAAAAAAGCAAAAAACAAAACAAAACAGAACAAAAATGATTACATAAATGCATGAAAAACAAACCATCAAGAAACCAATTCAATTATTAAAAAAAAAATATTCACACGCGTTCTAAATCACCTAATCTCATTCTCCCCCCCCTCAAAAAAAAAAAAAAGGTATTATCAGACACAAGACGGATAGTGGGCCAAGAGGACTACGTGCCTAATGGGAATCGTGACCTGTGTCGACGCCTGGTTCGGACCCTGTGTTTACAAGGCGAGGAGAGGTCAGCGCGTCGTCTCGCTTTGGCAGAGGCCTTGGCGAGGGATATGGGAAGGTAATAGTGAGGAGGAAGAGGATAGTGAGAGCGATTTAATGTATTATTATTCTAGTCACTGTAGTTTTATCTCTTGCGTGTACTGATTTCGTCTGGTGTAAGTTTCATCTCAGTGTGATCAAAGATTGGATATGGTTTGATCGTTCAGGTGTTTTATTTCAGGTCGGTTTGATTTGATTCATTACGATGATCTGATTAGTTGATTAGATAATTCGTGTTTATCTTGTGTTGATTAATTAATTCTACACCAATATTCTCCTTAAAAAAAAAAGCCGGCACACCACCGCAGACTTGAGCGGAGCAGTTCGCGCGATGCAAGCCGCCTTTGAAACTGCAAGCCAAGTCAAGCCGGATGCTGCCTCGTTCCAAGATCTTCTGTCGAGACTGAAGATGTCCTTCGCTTTTC